CTCGATTAAGCCGTAAAAGTTCATCGCTGTTTAATCTCGCAGACCCTATCACTAGCCACTTTGTCACTCTAATCAAATAATCTTTCCTCTCGAAGTTGGCGCTATTACAGAAAACGCCGCTAAAGATTTCACAAGCGATTCCAGGTACGATAAGAATCTATTTCAGTCGATTTTATAACCGATTACGCTTGCCGCGCAAGAGAGCCGTCTATTTAAAACATCGTGTAAAATGAATCGGACTCCGAGAAACGGGCACGCTGCTCACTTTTACTTCGGCAAAATGCACGGAGAGCTCGAGCCGTCACGTGACGCGCGGGCGACATTAACGTTTCAAACTTCGTGTTCGCGATTAAGATTCCCGTATAAAGTCGGATTTAGGTGACAGATGCTATTGCGCGCCCGGTATTACAAGAACGGATTCCAAGCAATGATAAAACGTTGGTGGAAAATGTACACGGAGTAAATATGACTTTCAAGCGACTGGATTCTACCGTGTTCTTAAAATTTATGCAATGCATTATCCGGAATTTCGCGTCGGTTTTCTGGGTCACGGTATTCTCAAGCTCGGACACGTAGACGCGGCTTTCGATCCGGTGTCCGTGCGCGGAAAAAGCGCTGCCTGCACGCTCTTTCGAATAAATTCGAAACATTTTCGAGGGGAGTTTCCGCGGCGGTTTTTCTCGCTGTTTAAACGGGTCCGTTCGGGACGGACGAGATACTCGAACGAAATCCTCCGACGGTACCCCAGAATTTCTGTACGTTAGTTCGAAACGAAGTGATTCCGAAGTCGGACGCGCAGACAAAGCCGTGGATCCCGAGAATGAAATTCGTTTGCCCGGGAACGCGGAACGCAAGTTATATCGGTTTACGAAGTTCGAGGCCGTTAATGTGGCTCTCATTTAGCCTCGATCCGGCTGCAGAAACACATTCCGCACACTACCGTCGCGTAACTTATGGCTCCGGTAATGAAAATTATGTCTTTCAATTCTGATTCCCATATCTGCGATCCGCTTTCTGCCAGCTTTCCGACGAGTTTGTCGTAGTTTACTCGCCGATCGTCGATCGTAGAATCGTCGACTTTCGAGTCTCCCGGAATTGCTTGTGTTGCGAAATTACAGTATAATTTCTCCCTAATTCGCGCTCAGATTACACACAAAATTCGAGCCTTGCGCCTCGTTTTTATAGTTGTTGAGAATCGGTAACTACGAGCCTTACGGCTCGTATAATCGTGTCTCCTCTTCCTAAATTGTCCATTTTTGTGCGCAATCTTAGCGCGAATTAGATAAAAATTACTGTAACGGTTTAATAGTGGGCGTCGCGACGCTGCATCGTCGGAAGATCATTTTCAGTTTCTCGAATCTGGTAAACATTTTTTCCAGAATTTTCATGGAGCATTGACCCTCGAGACTCGAACAGTGTTTTACGTTATCGAGGTCTTTGTTTAAAAAACTGTTGACAATGTCATTTTTGTATGAACTGCAAGATTCAATTTCGTGTGCTAAGCTAGTGCTAAAATAGTTAGACTCAGGATCTTTTGTACAGCTACAGGTTTGATTGCATAAGCAATAGGGTCTGTGTTTTTTAGACGCTTTTTCTGATACTAAATCATGTTCAAAGTATAAGCGGCAGGATGTATCTGGCCACAGCAGGCTAACTGTTGCATTAACCACAAGATTCATTTTCATACGCATAAAGTGCACTAAGTCGCATAAAATGAAAATACTGTGAGTTGAAAAATCTCTTTTGCATTTAGAATTAAAGTGGCTGAAATGGTTAAAAATAATACAAAATAGTATTATATACATTTATAATTCACATTGAAATTAGATACCACAAAATGACAGGTTTCTGGATTTTAGTTTACAATTTCTGATGCCAAAATGAATACAAATAAAATAAAATAGAAAAAATAAATAAAATAGAAATGATACCAAGTTTAAGTAAATCCAGTGTTGTCGTTGTTATGAAACAATAGAAATAAAATAAAGGTACCAGCCTTCATTGTGCTTTTAAAAATTGATTGTATGTTCATGTCGACCTATATATATATATATATACTCTGGCTTTCATGAATAATTGAATGGAAACCTCGAATAAGAGTCCATGTTGTATGTACTTCAACACTAGAATCACAGTCCGCTAAACACGTCTAATGTATATTATTTTATCACAATGACACAAGATTTTACTGTAACATTAATACTTGGTGAGTAAAACAGGATTCATTTAAATCATCCATTCATCGAAAGTAGATCATGTTTGTAAATACCCTTTCTGTTCGGTATGAAACGATATTGTCAATATAACTTATAAACGATTTCGAAAAATATGAACAATTATTCGTGTTTCATAATTGCTAGAACACGGTAGAAATTCATCTTTGTAAAGTGAAAATTGAATTGGTACGCGCGATCTGAATTGCTGATTCGTAACAGTATACAGATCGAAAGCGTGTTGAGTGATTCACATGCTATCAGATCGAATGTTAATTGGGAGCTGGTAACGACTCCTCGTATTTTTCAAGCGCCTGTGATTATGATTATGCTTTTTTTATGGCAGATGGAATTGTAATCAATATCTCCTGCATATTCAGCGCAGAATTTATTTCGTTTTTATTTTTCATTTCAGCAACTGCAGTATTCAGTATTTCACATTATGTGTAATAAAATATTGCTTATGTTATACAATGTAAAATATATAATACAATGTGAAAATACTTGTTATGTGCAATAATAAAATGTAATAAATAATAGGTTCAAAGATTCAATTGAATAATTATTGTTTACATTGTGGGATATAAAAGAACTGATATTTATTAAAACGTGCTATAAGATATAAAATATTACTGTATATATTGTATACGCATATTTTATTCGGTATCGTATTCCATATTTAATTATATAATGCGCATTATATTTAATTATATAATGCGCATTATATTTAATCATATAATGTACAGTGTATTTAATCATACAATGTACAGTATATTTAATCATACAACACACAGTAACATTTTATACTACAAAGTAGATTTGAACGAATATTACATTACACATTTAATATCGTACAGTGTGAATGACAGAGTGCAACAGATCCAGCAAAAAATTTCATCAAATCATCGAGCTACAGCTAAGAGAACTCGTTAGACGACTTTATGAATTTTATTGAAGTACGATAAAGAGATAAAGGTGCAATTAGATTTTGTCGGCAATAATCTTCAAGTGGAATCGAAAATGTAATCTATTATAGTATCGAGAGGGACAGAGAGGAAGTCAGCGATAAAGAGAGAGAGAGAGAGAGAGAGAGAGAGAGAGAGAGAGAGAGGGAGAGAGAGAGAGAAAGAGCTCTCTAACTGGATTCGGTACGAAAATTCTTTCCCGAATTCTTTTCCACCGGACGGTTCCTTACATTCCTTTGCTTTTAACCTTACCGGTGCTATAGCGCTCTCCTATTCCCCGTGCATTTCTTAATAATGCACCACTTTAATCTCGCGCGCGAAAAAATACTGAGGGCACGTAACTCGCGTTCCGAAGTTCTCCTATAAAGCGAGGCAATTAATCAGTACCGCGAGCATGAAATAATTCGATAAGCTTCGTTGATTATTTTTAAGAACGTTGTCGTCAGTTTTTATTAACCGGATTCCATTTCATCATCTCTTACGTAAATCGCAGAGAGCTACTTGCTTTGCGCGATAACTGCCATGACATAGACAAGTGTGTATATGAGATTATAAATTGTATTTAAATAGTTGATGAAGATACTATAAATGTAACATACTTCATATAACATACTTTATAACATATATATTTTATAACATATATACTATATAGTTATATAACATACTTTATATAACTATATATGTAACATACTTTACTTTATGAGTTTACTATGAATTCTACGCATTTCATATTTATTGTCACCATTATTGTCACCATTACTTGAAAATAGAAAGAATATATTAGTATAGTATTAATATATTAATATTGTAATACATTAATAGCTACTATTTAATAGCTAAAATACTAATAACTGTTACTATTAATATTATAATATATTTCAATATTAGAATATTAATGTTATTATTTTAATATATTAATATTACAATTTATTAGTGTTGATACTATATTAATATCACAATATTGTAATATTATTGTACTATAATATATTAACATTAATATTAAAAAATTAACGTTATAAATATCATAAATAATATTCTAATATTATAAATATCGAACAGTCAGTATTGCGAAAATTAACGATAATTTAGCAAACATTCTGAAGCAAATCTGAAAAGTTAACATTTACTGAAGCAAAATATAAT